AATACATATTTAAATTAATATTATGGAAAAATTTGATTTTTTTTAAATATTTATAACGTTCAATGGAGTTTGTCACTACTTGAAATATTGTACAATCAAAGAATTCAATGTTACATATGAAAAATGCACGTAGAATTAAAACAGTAAACACAAAAAAAATGCAAACCTTCAATGCTACGTATAAAAATCTAAAAATTTAATAATGTAGAGTAATTTTATGTTTTAAATATTCGTATATACTGAAAGATACTTTTATAATAAGAGATTTTTGGTAAAATTTTAAAGATATATCTTAATGTGTTTAAAATCATTGGACAATATAATTCAATTATTTCAATAAGTCAATCTTTGAGTCATATTTCTATAAAATACAATATTTTATTGATATCAAAGTTGTATGAATTAACAAAATTAATATTTTCATATTTTTGTTCAAATTATTTCGTTTACTGAAATATAAAACTTGGATTTTCTTAATTATACAAATAAATATATATTAATAAACTTTTTTTGTTTAATATTCGATTCATTTATTCGTAAGATTCGTTTATTTACATTTGTACATTATTATATATGTTTGTTGATATTTGACATCATTAAAAATGTATGATTTTTTATTTAACAAATTTATTTAAAAAAAAAAACTAATAATTATACAATATCATCCACCTTGGATCAGTCTGGATTGGCTCAAATAATACTAAATTTTAATTCAACTATAGAATTAGAACAAAAATACATCTTTTATACACAAATTATTGTTTTTTTTTTAAGTTTATTTTTGTATTATTACAGACATTAGGTGAAACCGGACTATGCTAGTTATTACTATTCATATTTTTTGGTATACAGTTTTTTTGACCTAAACATGTAAGTTGATAAGTGAAATTTCAATATATTTTCTATTCAAATTATTAACTATTTTGTAAACGTAGATTAATCAATAAATGTTTATTATTTTTCAATTTTTAATACTTATATTACTACTATTTTCATAATAAACGATTTAAACATGTTTATGTTCCATCTAAAACGAATTTATAAATAATTCCTTTCACTGTGAATTTGCTGCTATACTTAATGTCACTGTCCATCTGTGATGAACGATGGCACTATTGCTGCAAGCACCGAGAGGGCTCACAAAGGGCCAGGTTTTGACCAGGATTCGAACCGTCGCCGATCGTGGGTAGGGCAACTTAACCATTCGGCTATTAGTCGCCCTGAAATATATATATATAAATCATTAACTTTAATATGCACACACAATGAATGAGTTCACAAATATGCACTATTAAATTATTGTTAAATTTCGAGTATCGATCGAAAACACTGAATAAATTGTACGATATGAAATACGCATATCCATCGGAATTAATTAATAATCCCTATTATTCGAACGGTACATGTGTTCATCCCTCAATAACAACAACAAAAAACTATCAAAGGATTGTGTCTATTTTTTGTTGATTTTGTTGTTCACAGTATAGAAATATTTGTATGTACGGGTGTCTGTCTGTCTGTATGTATTTAAATGGACTTTTAAAAGCATCCGCTCGAGCATATATTTTGCATGAATAATTTACTTTTTTAACGCGTTCAAACAAAAACTTTTTAACGTTTTTCGAGCGCTTTGCGTTAAGTCCAGATTTACCTGCAAATCATTATCTATGCTAGACAAAACCTTCCTATGTGCATTTTAAAATGCAAACATTATTCATCCGATAGGGTTGTTTGTTCCTAAATTATGTTATTATTGTATGTCTCAGTGAAAACCCCTAATTTTAATTTGGCGCCATTTTTTTTTGTATAAATTTTACTGGTATAAATGTGTCATATGTCTAATCTTGCCAATAGTAAATATGGAATGCTACACCAAATAACAACGCGTGTTGTTAACTATACTTATAAGTACTGTCAGACGACAAAGGGTTAAATTATTATTGACAAAATGTGTTCAAACAATACCTTTGTTTTTCATTGATAACATTTAATTATATTTAACAAATACATTTTAACTTTCAATTACAAAAAAAATATTTTTCATAGTAAATATTGCCTATTTTGTGAAAATGATAACATGTGATCAATATAAGTTTATTTACATAAACAAATTTCAAGATTATCTAATTTTTTAGTTAAATTTTGTTCCAGTTCTATTAAATTACAATGTCGATAGTAAAATTTATCTAAAATAAATTAAGCAATACCTCGCATAGTCCGGATATGTTTTTTTTTGCCAACCCGAAATTACTAATTTATTAAGTCTTATAAGTGTTAATTTTCAAATGTTTTCCATTTTATGTTAAAGTTTAGTTATGTGAAAATACTCATTACATATTTTTTTTTGTTTGCTTATTAATTTATATAATTGGACAGAGTTTTTTTTGGAATTTATTTGTATTTTTCTCAAGTAAAATTTAGTTTATTTTGAAATTTTAAATTTGTTGAATCTGTACTGATCGAAGTCGCACTATGCGAGGTATTGCTCTATTTAATTATCACTGATTAATATTAGGTTTATTTATTTCATATTTCAATTGTTAATTACTTCTTATAAGCATAAAAGTAATTTGTAACTTAAAGCAAATAGTTAATTACTAAAATACAACATGAAAAGTATAGGCTTTTTTTTACAGAGAATGATAGAATCTGTTGTGCACCTTGAAGCAATAGGTGCTCCTGACAGCCTCAATGAAGACATCATCGATGCCGACTAACTTTTCCACCGAGCATTCGACTAAAGCGCAAGCATTTAGGGCGCACTTCAGATCCTCACCTTCCTCAGTCTTGACGCACCCTCTTCGCCCTGTACCCCTTAACTCGGTGTCTGTGGCTACGGTATAATTAAACGCGTCATTATGTTTTTGTCATGCAATTACATTATGCGTGCGTGGAACATTCTTCAACGCCCGCACTAAACTCACCGACCAAAATCACGGGCACGTCAGGATTCGTCCTGCGAACTTCCACGCACCATTTCCTCAGCGTTCTCTCAAAGGACCTTCGATTTCCAATCGAGTAACACAGCACGACACAATCCGCCTACAAACACACATTTAATTAAAAAATCATAATACCTTGCATAGTACGGGTTTACGATTCCGCCAAATATACCGGACTATTTGAAACAGTACTATTGTACTATTGCTCAACCAATTTTTTTTTTTTAATTTTCAATGTAGACTGATCGTAGCCGCACTATGTGAGATATTTTTTGTACATTTAATATTAAAATACATACTTTTTCGTAATCTTCCCATCTGAGGATTTCGTAATCGTCGTCACATTCCGCGTCTATGAAATGCACGTTGTAACGATTGTAATCGACGATTATTTCCCTCACGTTGTTCTCGAACCTGCAAAAATGATTTATTTCCTGAAAACTAGTGAATTTTGCTTTGTGAATACCACATACCTGGAGGGCATGGAAAATTCGTAAATATGTTTGTTGTATGTGTATTTTATTAAAAGTTCCGTTTTCCTGCTATCGGCATCACCGACAGCGACAATTGTAATTGACCTTTCCATTTCAACGCATTTGAAATGACTGCTTCATTCAATGTTATCTTCAACTTTAAACAAAGCATTTTTATCTCTAAAAGGTGTAGCATTTACGCAACTCCTCTGAATCATCGATTTGTTTGTTTAAACAATTGATCTACACCTTCAAATTATCATTAACTTTAGTATCAGTTATAATAATTTTCTAGAAATAAAATTCATCATAATATTCTAAATACCAGTTTTGAAGAGAAGAGTCGTGATATTATAGGATAGCTACGCACAGATTGTCTTTGCTAGCAAGTATTTCACTTCGACTCGTGTTGGTCTGCACTACCACTTTCTTCACTGTTTCTCTCCATCCTCCACTCGCCATCTTCCTTAATGGAAAGCACCCCTAATAAGTATCTTGCTACAATGTCTCTCTTTAGCATTTCACCAACAAACGTCTCTGGTTCTAGCAGTGCTTCAAAATTTGCTTCAGCGTCGTACTTCATCTTTGTCCATGAGCACTATCCAAAGAACGTTTGTTCTGGGTTGTCATCCTCCTCGGAGTACCAGCACTTTTCATTCTCCTTCTTCCCTATGAATTTCAAGTACTTACTGAAACGCACATGCCCGGAAATCTAAATACCTACAAATTCAATTGTATAATTATATGAATGTTTGTTGTCATCGCTTAATTTATTGCAATCACTAACTTTAATCTTACCAATTGCCGTTACTTCTGAGAGTAATGACAATTGGTATGGTGTTTGTCATACAACATATTTCGTTAGCAGATTTGTTCGCAGTCGGAATAAGTAAATTGTTGCTAATTATTGTAGTTATTTTGTGATCCTTTCACTGATTTCAATCCTGTTAATTCACACTTTAGCCACTAACAATCAATAAAATAAACTTGGGCTATTAATGTAATCGGTAGTAACAGTATGTTGATTGGATTCATTCCAGTTAATGGCGGAACCGGAAAAGCAATCGCGTAGATGCACACGCTCTGGCATTTAATTAAAGGGTTCCACTGAGCAAAACTAGTGCAGCAACGTAAAACGAAGAAGCAGCCTAATTAAATGTTATCGCTTGATTAATAATGAATATGACTATATTTGAATATTTAACTATTTTAGTTAGATAACACAAATATTGTTTTTAATTTCCTAAACTTATGATGTTAATTTAAACAATACCATGTATATTGAAATAAACAGTATTAACTTTATGCCAAGTGGCTTAATGGAATAAGCAACATAATTCATTTAATTTCTACAAAAATCAATTAAATATGTTTCCTCTTTGACGTAAACAATATAAGAGTTAGTGTAAATATAATTATAAACTTATATTTGATCGGTGGTAATCGTAAGCCAGACAACCGAAATACCGCCAATTAAAATCCCTACTATATCTAAAATGTCTACTATAACATTTTTAAATTATTCCGGAGCGTAGTGACTTTTAAATTGTTATTAATAATAAATAATAACAATTAATAAACTAATTGTATTTGAGATTACTTAATAATGTTAAGGTTTATTATGAATAATTCAACAAAATCAAATAAATTAATAATAATTTATTGTAGCACAAGGTGACTACGCTCCTAAATAATTTAAAAATGTTATTGTAAAAAAATTCGATATAGTCGGGATTTTGATACAGTCGGGATTATGGTTGTCGGGATATCAAACGTCGGAATTTCGATACAGTCGGGATTTCGAACGTCGGGATTTCAATAGACGGTCTTTCGGGCTTATGATATAGACCCATATTTGATAATTATATAATTAAATATATATATAATATGCAAAAAATATTATTTTATTAAGTAATTATTTTAAAATGAAATAAACTACTATAAACAAAAAAAAGTTAATACAATTAAGATGAAATAAATTTACAGTATTTGTAAAAGCTTTTTGATCTTTAATCCCTTTTAAGTTGAAAAGGAACATCGAAATTGCTATACAATAAATTGATTTAGAAAGTTTTAGAGACTCGATATTAGTTTTCAAACCGGATTTAACAAATGCTTGCACTTAAAAGATTTCAATAAATCGTGGTAATCTCCTAATGCAAACTCTATTAATTTCAAAATACCCAAAATGATATACTTTATTCATTCACCATAATGAAGAATAATACTTTTTTTTTATAATATTTCAAAACTGTGAAGATATTGAAACATTAGTTGCAAAATTCAAGGAAATTTGTTTGTACACGCCTTGATACAGATTAAGAATGATAAACCGAATTATTTTACACAAAAATATTTCAAAATGCAATGTATTATAAAAATGTTATTGTAGATTCGGAATATTCTTTTAAAATTGAACTGATTCTATCGAAAATATTTAAAATAGAAAGCATTCAATTTTTTGCTTAAATCCCTATTGATATTCACAGTGAAAATACATACAGTATGTACAATTGAAAATTGTATTATACCGAAAGGAGTGTAAAGAGAAAATACCGAGCTACGAAAAGGGAAATTGTTTTGGGAATTCACAAGAACAGCCCTTTCATAAGAAGTAACCCTTTCATATCCGCTATTCTTAAACATCAGCGTTGAATGGAATTAAGTTATTGAAAATTGTGAAGTGGAAAATGTACATAGTTCTTTTTATAATTCCAAAACTTAATTATATAACTTATATTTTCAGTTCTTTTTTGCTTTAAATATTTGTCTTTAGAAATAAATGTTATATACAGCTATCATTTTTCTAATTAAATAACTTCTTTTCAGAGGCGTCCAATATTTTGAATATTATATCATTTCTTATAATATTTACAAAACTTTTCATTTAAACTTATACAAAAAAAAATTTTTTTAATAAATAACGTTTCTATAGCAAATAGATGCATTTTTTTATGGGAAATACAAAGCTTTTGGTATAACACTTCTATCTTCCGCTATTTGGCTGTAATTTGCAGTAAAAAAAGTAACGTGAGATAAAATATTATTTAACCTGATATTTGTCCTATTAATATATATTTTTTTAAATTTTATGTTAGAATGTACTTATGTATTTATGTTTGGCCAATAAATTATTATTATTCTAAGAAAAGTTATAGCTTTCTCCTATTAATAACTAAGGGTCCTAATGGTGGGTTTTTCTAAATTCATGTTAATTCAATAAACTTGCTTCTTGTGACATAAATATATAATAAATACGAACGATTTTACGAACCTAATAAATGAATCAAGCCATTTTTGCATTTGGGCAAATTAAATCTTCGTTAAGAATTCATTTTCTTGTCGGAGATAATGCATCATCATCGACGTTTATTATATCTCCTCATCATTACCGTTTTCAATATATATTACTTCTATAGATATGTGATTTTCACTGATGGTATCGTAAACACAATTCTTTTCATCGAAGCAAAGCATGTCCTCGTCATCACTAATATCCTCGTACATTACTTATTCATTTTTCTAGTTTTGTTGATAGTTTGTGTTGTTACTGCTACAAGTGATTGCAAGAAACTGATGCATTTGCAATGATTTGCTGATCTTTTATAGTACATCCCTTTTGCAAAGGTATTATCAAAATCGCCAACAAGCCAACGTGTTTATTGGGGTCGTAAAATCAGGTATATTATATTATTAACATGAATTTAGAAAAACCCACCCTTTGGCCCAGTAAAAATAGTAATTAATAGT